ACACACACACACACACACACACAGACACATGTGCATATACATGCATAGAGGGAGTCGTGCACAAATTCCCTTTTAGTCACAAAACCGATGTCAGAGGTTTTAAAGTGTCCCACTCTAAGTAATAAATGCAAATATTTCCTCCATTGTTCTTTCACTATATGATTGCATCTGCAACTTAATAAATTATTTTTATTGTCCTTTCAGTTATATATGAGTCCTTGCATTCACAAAGCTAATGGCTAATCTGTGGAAACAAAACATCAACACTGAGTGAGATGAAGTAAGAAACAAGTGAATATTAAAATTATCTTACTGCTATTATCATAGTTCATAGACTGACTTTGTGCAAATTGTAAATTCTTCAAGGATAAAGAGATTTTCCCCCCAGTGTATTAGGTTCAGTCATTTTCAGTTTATAACTTTGACGAAGCAGTGAACTCTCGGCTCATTTAAAAATTCGCCAATAATCTGAACACTCATGTCTAATGAGACAAGTGAGAGCAATTGTCACCCTTTGCCTGTTTCCAAATCGGGAAACAATGGCTTGTATTTATAGTGCAACTCTTACCACAGCTAAAACTGAGGGCAAAAAGGACAAAAACAAATATTATAAACTAGCTCTATAGCATGCTGGTGTGGTGGTTAGCACCACCGCCTCATAGCGAGAAGATCCTGGGTTTGTATCCACCATCTGGCCAAGTTAAAGATCACAGAGAAAACCCAAACAGTTAGCCCTCAAACCTCTCTGAATAACGTGGCTTTTGTTTCTTGTTCCTGGGCTTCTTCCAGTCTGTCTGTAACTACAGTGAAATGTAACCTCCCACTCTTTTCTCAGGAGGTTTTTGTACTTGCTCCATTCTTGCCTCAGCATTCCATCTTCTCCTTCTCTCCATTAGAAACTGTTGAAGGTAAATGGACTGGTTCTTATGTAGCGCTCTGCTCAATCTTGAGCACTCAAAGCGCTTTACCCAACTTGTGCATTCACCCATTCACTCAAGCACATTTTTCTTAGTGCTTTCTAACTTTCTAACATTCACACACATTCATACTCCAATGGATGCATCTGAGAGCAACTTGGTTAATATCTTGGCCAAGGATATTCTGCATGCAGACTAGGGGAAGCCCCCTTCCGATCAGTAGATGACCTGCTCTAGCGCCTGAGCTACAGCCACCCATACCTACCCTACCCACCCAAGGTACTGAGCTCATGAAAAAAAAGTTTAGAGCCACCTGTTTTTTGGTGCCAAGCACAGTATCTACGTCATGGTGGAGATTTCAGGAGACAGTGATTTACTGTGGGAGAGCTGGACAGGACTGGTATCTGCTCCTTTGTGAAAGGATGAACAGACGGAGCACTACCAGAGACCTGCAAAGTGACCTCCAGCAGGCACTGGTGTTAATGTCTCTGACCAATCAGAAATAAACACCATGAGGGTGTCCTGAGGGTCAGACGCCCTCTAGTGGACCCTGTGCTCACTGCCTAGTACCATGGAGCCCCATTAGCATTTGCTGTAGTACACCTGAATTGTCAGGTCTACCACTGGAACCCCCCACCTGGCTTTTCACATATGAGAGTGGGCTCACCTTGACCACATGTCACAGATGTAAAAGTGTGTGGAGAAGCTGCGGAGAACATTATGCTGCCCGTAACATTTTTCAACATGCCCTGTCTGTTGGTGGGTCAGTGATGTCTACAGAGACACATCCATGGAGCGACAAATAGACCTCTACCGTCTAGGCAACAGCCAAATGACTGCCAATTGGGTATTAGGATGAAATCCTTGGACCTGAGCTTGGAAAGAAAAGTGTCTGGACTTTAACTTTCTTGAAGACTTTTCATCTGAGAAGCTTCTTCAGTTTTAGGAGCGATTGGTGAAGAGCCCCAGATTTTAAGCCCAATTGGAGTGTCCCTAAGAGGTCCTGGACCCCCTATTGATCCTCTGCCTAATCACAGTGTGGGTCACAATCAGCCAAGGCTTCAGGTGAACCCGTTTGGAGACTTTGCCCCACCCTATCGACCATCTTTGAACAGAGGCGGTGGCTTACGACACCAACTGTCTGTCATCTATAATCCAGTTTTCAGATCCCTTCCTTAACGTCTACTCACATCCTGGGCCACCTGTTCTCAGTAAGTCACATGATAGGGTGGGGCTGGGTGTTCATTCAGTGGTGCTAGCTTCAGTCATTGTGTAAACGAACTGTTGGAAGGTTGGAAACCTGCAGTCAGCTGAGACTGAAGAAGTCTCCCACTGAAAACATCCAGATGAACAAAACCAGCTTTTTGACATTTACTTACCTGGATGATTGAGCATCAAGACGTCTCACAATGGGTTCACCTGAAAACTTGAAACTTTGGAAACCTTGGAAAGGAAAATACCAACATAAGCAAAAACCACATTTTACTGTATATCAGCCCGTAACTATATTTTTCAGTCCTTTAAATTTAGAGATTTTAAGATAAGACTCTACAGTATGAGGATTTTTGGAGTCTGCCAAGTGGCAAAAAGCAGAACTGCAGTTTTTGCCACTTGTTGGCTTCAACACTAGAATCAATGGTTATTATCCTACAGAGAGCTGAATTCTTAGATACCCCAAAAATTAAACTGAAAAAATGATGTGGCGGATTAGTCAATTTTACTGAACTTTCATTCAAGCAATTCCCAGAGGTATTCAGTATGGTCTGACAATGAGTCCAAGGATTGTCTGCAAAGGTTCTCAATCATCCAGGTCATCAGGAGCTTGGAAAGAAAAACATCTGGATGTTGTGAGCGTGTGCATTGCCTTTTGGACTATTTTAACAGATTACCTGACTAATGTTAAGGCTGTATTATGTGGTAAAACCAAGGTTTTTGTGCTCTGACCTAGAAAGCGTAGAAACATGGTGTACAACTAGACAGTTATTCTATCTTCCAGTAACACTGGAGGCAGTCACCTCGTGGGTGTTCCAGCCATGTCCTTCTGGGAGGAAGCCCGTAGACCTGACCATCAGCTGGCCTGGGAAACGCTCAATGTTTCTCAGATAAGCTCGTGGAGGTCACCCGTCTTCAGATAAGTGTCACTTTTACTGAAGTTTTTGTCATTAATTTTCAAACAGCGTGCATCATTAATAATGCACGCACAATGCAATGCACTTTTTAGTTGCGCTTTTTTGTTTTATTGGCGTTAATTTGTCATGTTTTAATATCACGTGAACATCTTTTGTAGTAACATGTTTTCATATTATATTTGTGCCTTGAGAAAACTGTTGTGTATGGAACTAAATAAATAAAATTGAATTGAAATGAAATGAAGAATTTGTGCTTCAGGTCTGTCACATTGTTGTCTGTGCATTTCACCGTTTTTAAAGGGAACTTGCTGACCACGCCAGCTAATAAATTTAAACTTTCTTTCGTCACTCTAAGGTCATTTCTGGCTCCAAAAAACCCAAAATGCTAATTTTGTAGCTTCAAAGGAATCCAAAGTGGGAGTCATCACAGTTACCATTTATACATTCACCTTCATTTATACACTTTCACTATAACATTTTTAACTATTTGGATCAATCAGAGTAAAAAGAGGTTCTTTACTTTTGTCAGCTTGTTTTATTGAAAACAAAATAATCACCTAGAAATACCTGAAACATACTGAAGTATTTATAGCATTATAATTTCTGCTTTCTTTGCATAATTATTTGTTGACTTGATAATATTAATATTGCATTATTAGTATTAACATTGTTAATATTCACAGTTAGTCACTGAAATTTGATTTTCCTATATGAGTTCTGTTGGCATCATCAAAAATCTCCAGCCAGTGAATTACTCTTGATCTTATATGACTTTATATTTTATTTTTTTAATCTTGGAAAAGCGTGAACACAAACTAGAACTAAACATGTAAAACTAGTCCAATCGAATCACAGAGACACAAAACAAAAAGGGTTGTATTTTTTATTTTACAGTCACCAGAAGAGCAGATACATCATTTTAGAAAAGAAATTGATATTTGCAAAAAACTTATAATACAATTTTGTCAATATAGATTATGTACATAACGAAATGTCGTCAAACTGAAATAGCTTTCCACTTCTTCGTCATCAAGGAAACAGAGAAGTGAGGGGTCTGGTCCTCCGTAGACCCAGCTCCCTAACCAATAAATATAAACTGTATATATTATCTGGTGCACTCAGCCAGGCATAGACAATACCAGGGCAAGTTATTTCTCAATAATATTCCCTTAATCAGTTCTTGTACATCACTGTGATACACGCTCGCACACCCACGACAAGCTTGACACAATTGCACACAGGCCAGAGAACAAATTACAGTTGAATTACAACAATGGGCTATCTTAACTCCTGAAAAGGAATGAAAAAATCAAAAGAAATGTGCATGGAAATACCCGTCATTGTCCTTGATCACCAGGGAGAAGTGGCTTTCTGGTCAAAGCTCGCTGCAGCTAGCTGAGTAGCACTTGACATTTGGCCTGATTGAAACAGCCAATTCCAAGCTAGAAAATCTCTTACGGTCTTAGAGATCCTACCTCCTCATTCAGCTCTTTTCCTCCCTCTTAGCATCTCTTGATATCCATCTACCTTCCTTCCCTCTCTTGTCCCTATTCTCTCTATCTTGAAGGGGACAGTTGCCAGCACGAGGGCTGGCAATTGCCACCCTTTGCCTGTTTTCCCCACTGCGAACAAAGAAAATAAAATGCACACAAAAGCTCCTATCCACGCTGTACCGAAACAGGACAGACAACTGCACGATCACAGAACAAGCACAAGAAAAGACAACAGCAAAGTAAAGCTATGGCCGGGATGGGAGTCTTGTAAAGAGGATTCTTGAAGGACATTGCGAGCATACCGTTTGCCAGCCGCTCTACCTCGTCGCTGGGTACCACCTCTCAAAATACGCCCTGCTTGTGCTTTGTGGGAGGTGCAGAGAATTATGACTTTGTGCCAATGAGCGAATACACACACACTTGCATAAATCATCCATCTTGTTTGGCGGTTAATTACTCTTGTTTACCCTCCGAGTAACCTCGGGATGGGGCGGCGCGATAGGAGGGAGCCTGGGAAGAAGAGATAGCACCAAATAGTAATCTGCTGACGGTGTTCATCAGTGAGCAATTCACAGGAGTAAAAGCACATAGTGGGCTTGAACCTGGGTGTTAGTGAATTACACAAGGTTACCTGGGGTCTGAGGACAGCAGCTCCATCAACATGCTGGCCTGACCACACTTGCTCACTAAGGTATTCTCGGGTCAGTCGGTGAAGGTGCCACGCCGAGGCGATGAGGCACAGGCCAATCAGAGAGCCCCTAAGGATGCACAGCAGGCCGCGATCGTTGCTTATTTCATTATGGGGAAAGCTACATAAATCCACTAAATGGAGAAGAAGAGACACAGAGGGAATATTTGCATTTCTTCTCTCCTATCATCCCCCCTCAATGCCACCCCACCCCCGCCCTCAAAAATCACCCATTTCAATCCCTCTCCCATTTAGTGCAGAGTGAGTTTAATCATCACTTTTGCCAAAACACATTAAGCCAATGTGTCCAGAGTTGAAGAGAAAGGGGGAGGTTGAAAAACTACAGAGTGGCGCATTAGATTTGCAATAGTGATGCATCACTCTGGCATTACTTTGGAGATTAAAGAAGGGACGTTGCATTTCAGTGCTGAGCGTTGCCTAATGGACGCCTGTCCTCCTGTGCCGAGCCTGAAACGAAACACCGTTGTCCACCTGGAGAAGACGAGTCGCAATCACCCTGGAGTTCCCCCCTTCTATACCTGCAAATTCCCTCTTCTTCTAAAAACCTTTTTTCTTTAAACTTCAAAGCCTTCCCTTGACTTTTAACCCCCGATTTGAGAGCACCTCCACACTGAGGACATTTATGCAGCTGTTTGATCATGTTCTCAAGTCAAGAACAATGCCTCCTTTAATACTGTAAAGTGGATTGCATACATTACAGTTAAGCCAACACATAACATGACTTTGCCTGGGCTCTGTGTTACTGCTGTTGTATGAAAAGATGGATATAAAGTGCTTGGAAGCTTAGGGACAGGCAGAATGAG